AACACTGAATTTTCAAGGCCATCGGAATACAAGATAATGAAAGGTCTGAAGTAAAATATATTCGTGGCATTTCAGTCAATTCAAAGTACAAAAGCAACTAGCACAATAAATATAAAAATACTAGCCAGCGGTCCTTGTGCAATATTTAGCCGAACAACAGAGTATAGTCATCCTAAAAATACTGGAAGTAGTCCCCTATATGTCAACAGCAAAAGAGGCAATAAGAAATTTACCCCTTTGGAAGCCAAGACCATATGTCATTCGAAGAGTGATGAGAGAAATCTTCACAACTGAGAAAAATAAACAGAAACAACTTACTGTACAGGCAGCTGTACAAGAATAGATTCCTTGCCATTTATCACAGATCTCCACAAATGTCAGTCATTCATCAAGACTTTTGAAACCAACGTCTTCAATCAGCCCTAATTCCTCAAGTTGTAGCTGGCACTGATTAAAAGTTAGAATATTGCACAGCAAAAGAGACTTGATAACACCCAAAATCCATGGAACGATAATCACCACATCAAAAGATGGCATAGCAAGAACCTTGTATCACCTTCAGAGGGGCTTCTATTCATCCTCTATCTCCACAAGCTGTGCCCGTCTCTCTGCTGCTTTCTTCCTAACAAAGAAACCCCACCTCATTGCCGCTTTAATTTTCAGCCACCCCACAACAGCTTTGCCAGGACGGTTGCGATCTTCGTCATAGCTGGGCATTGGTGATGGCATGAATGAGGGGAATGCATACCCATCATCAGGCACATCAATGGAGCCATGGCCTCCCATACTGAAGATTCTGAGCAAGTGCTGCATATCCTCATTTTCGAGCATCTCATGACTTCTAATGCGAATCTCTTCCTCTGAAAAGAAATCTCGATTGGTTGTCCAGTCATCTACAGGATTAAGAGTGGATGGCTGAGAAGAAGAATTGATAGCCTGAAATACTGATGTAGATGATTGTGGAGGACCAAGGGCCAGCCCAACAGCATTGGCATCACTTCTTGTGCTTTGTGCCTGATGCGAATTGCTGATCAATTGGTCATCTATTGCAAATTCAGTGCCATCAAACTGGGTACGAGCGTTGGAATTTACAAGTGGCTGGGTCAAGTATCTTGTTGATAGATTATCATCATACCCTACAGAAATAAAAACAAAACAAAAGAGAATCATAATTAGCAACCTGTCTAGCAAACATCCTCATTGGATGACAAGAAACATCATCACATGCATTCATGTGTGTGTATATGTGTGTTGTGTGTGTGTGTGTGTGTGTGTGTGTGTGTGTGTGAGAGAGAGAGA